TGTAGCACCAGGGGGTGGAGCAGTCGCGACATGGTGCAACATTCGGGGTTTCTTTGCTGGCGAAGCCCTTGGCCAAAACAAGCTTCCTGTCATTTGGCAGCAGCCAAACCAAAGCGCACCGAAGACCAACTGACCAGAACCTGCCCGCCACAATGCTGTCCTAGGGCATAGGTCTTCGGAGTTGCAATGCTTTGCTGCCCATGCCAAGACTCGCAAGAGGACCTCTCTTGGCATCACTATTTCATACCAACCTCGACCTCAATCCAACATTACCATTAAAAACCCACAGTGTCAGAGGTGGCGGTGAAGGCAGATCATAGTCAATGCCTTCAGCTGCATCACAACCTGTAAAGAAGACGTCGTTGTGTTCGCACCTTGCTGGAAGCCTTGGCACAGATGTCAGAGGCATTGATTGGGCTTGCTCGTTTCGGCGCGGATATCCTGCAGTTGGATTGGGACTGCATTTAAGACATTGAATGATCTGTCCAAGACTCTTTCTGCATACCGCAGCACTGTCTTGAGTCGAAACATGTGGCACCACAGCTTGCGCAGGCGCACACACAGGCACACACATGCAAGCAAGCTCTAGACCCATTTTGGCTCAAGCTTCTGGGCTCCTGAAAAGACGACGCTTAGTGAGCACTCCCACTCCCGCGCAACATGTTCATGTGTCTCCGACCTGCATACCATGTCATAGACTTGACAGATGTTGCTGAGCCTGAAGTCCCGAACTGCGAGTTAGCCTGTGAGCCCACGCAACCACAGCCCTTAGACTCCTCTCAGGACCAAGCCCTTGACACAACCCTGGAACAGCCCCTGAAACGCCCCAGAAAGCCAACAAGCCAGGACATCCCCGAGGATCTACGGACACCCCCCCACAACCCGAGGTTGCCGTCGTTCGGTTTTTTTGAAGACCACCTGCTACGTGCCGTGGAGTTCAGGGCGTACAGACTGCTAAGTCGAGAACAACCACCGGAACGTGAGGACTTGGTGAACCTTTTTCGAATGGTGCCGCGTTCGTACCGTCGTCGTGCTGGTGGTGATAGGGATGCTGTAGGCACATACATCGTGGCCGGATGTAACCCTCGGCATAACGACTGTCCTTTGGCCACCTGCACTGAAACCCCGTACTTCGTGATGCTTGTGAACAGGTACATTCGTAAGCTTGCCCCAATGTTGCCCTACACTAATTTCGTCCTCCGCGAAGGCCTTGTAGGACAACCCCACCGGGACACAAAGAATGGACCTTTCTTCTCAATGATTGTGAACCTGCATGAACCGACAGGCGCAGAAGGGCTCTGGGTACAAGACTCCCTAGGCACATGCTTCAAACAGCATCTTGGAACCCTACTCCCAGGCCGAGTCGAGGACATCACGGAACCCTACTTTTTCAACGCTAGGAAACTTTTGCATGCAGGACATCTGGTCCCTGGGGCAGACCCAAGTAATAGGGTTACACTGGTTGCCTTCACAATCCTCAATGCTAAGAATGTGAGTGAAGATCTTTGGCAGCATATGGTAGGACTGGGCTTCCACCTCCCGAGTAGCACGATGGTAAGACAGGCCACTCTTGGGTTTTTGCCGAATGACTTCGGCTGCAACAGAAACCCAGACCTCAAGCAACTCAATATCCTTGAAGCCCTGGCCCTTAGTCGAGAACGGCAGGCTCTGGAACAGTCCGCAGAGAAGGTGACAATGGAACAGCAGAAGCGATGCCCTTTTCAGGACCTCATGTTGAAACCCATTCTCATTGAGGACACCCAGAACAGCTAGGTCGCGCCAGCAACCCACGAGCTTACAGTGTGTAATACACTTGCCCGTGCAGGACTTGCCAGGTATGCCCTTTGCAGGACTGTGAATTTGATGCATGTGCTGGACTGTGAATTTGTTGCATGGATGCATGATGCATGATGAATGATGTCTGTGATGGTGCTACGGGGTACGTCGGTCTTGGGACCCCCGTCGTCTGGTCACCGGGGAGGGAGTGCTTACGACCTTGCCACCCCTCTTCTAGCGGGTTTTACCCTTGTTCCCCTTCTTTCCTTAATGAAACCACCAACCCGCGACCCCCGCTGCAGCCATGGGACTGCCTTTCTGCGAAGCGAAGCCTGCTATGGAGACAAACAGGAGATGAGCACTTCCTTACCTGACTCGCTGCAACAAGACGCAGATCGGAAATGGACGGGACATCACTTTGTGAGCTCGAAAGGCCGCCAGGTCCCCCACTACACGCGTGGGCCTGCCCTCGACTGTGAACGAATGCTGAGTTCTGACCATGCCTGTCCTGTGGGTGTGCTGCACATCTCTTGGTCGGCGAGCGTACATGTTACAGGTCACTGAGATCAAGAGAGAGTGTCGATGAGACACCTATCTCTCTGCAAGCCTGCCTGTTTTGACCCATGACCGCGATGGTCCGACCGTAGATAGCCAGTACAAGCACCGCAGAATTTGGGGCCACAAGAGAAGGATGTCATTTTGACGACCGACAGATGCACGAGAAACCCTGCCCGACAGCCGCGAGTCCGGGAAACTCTGCACCTACCGAATGCGAACGCTCGAGCCATGTGACCTGAGCCTGACCGGTGAGTCTGTTTCACCACCACCTACAGCACAGGTTGCTCTGTTGGAATCTACAAGAGGCTTCCGTGTACTCAAGTTCCACGTAGGCTAGTGCGTGCCTCATGTAGAATTTGCAGAGTGACGCAAGCTCAAAGTAGCCACAGTAGTCAACCAATGTAAGACCTCGTCTTCCTCTGCTGACCGCCCTAGCTAGACTCAAGACACTCAGCGCCCACACTTTTCTAATGTCATGGTCTGGGTCTTACTGTGTTCAAGTTGATCGATGTGTTGTTTCGTGGCGACGAGTGACCATAACTGATCCTCACGCCAGTCCATTGTTCTGGAGTCCGATGTTATTTCGAGTTTTAAATGATAGGCCTCGTGGTGAACTGGCACAAGTGAGGATCGATCTTTGCCTCTTTTCACACCGACCTCGCACCTAAGAACCTCGCCTGGCATGTCCGAGTTGTGAGAGCGTAAACTCAAACCCTGAGTTTGAGAGTCGAAACCCCAAAATCTCTCCTCACCCAAATCGTATGTGAAACTCGAATCCTTAAAACCCCTAAAGAGCCATGCGAGAGGGAAAAGAAAACCCTAGAGATTTCATTCAACAGCACTGGGCCACAAGAAAACTCCCAAGCACTGAAACTTAACATGCCTTTTTGTAGAAGAACAACGTCAGGGGCTTGAACCGCTGCAGGGTCTAGGCAGCATGGGCGGGTTGTGCGCCTGTGCGACATGCATCGGCTTCCGCAAGGCCTTGAGCTTCCAGCTCTCGTTCTGCACTGCGTTTATAGATCCGTTTGGAGCAAGCACTGTGCAGGGTTTTTGAGCCTCCTCTTTCCGCCCCAAAGACGACCATCACTTAAAGTCGGAGAGAGGTGTATGTGTAGCATCAACTTGTACAGTCTGTTTCAGCTGGCTGCTGGCATTCATGGCGTGGATTGACATTGCCTTGCCGCATCAAAGCTTGTGCCGTTGTGGAGTCGCTGTCAAGTCTGGCAGGATGCCGAAGCTCCGATCCAAGAGTCGGTGCCTGAACTCGTTGTTGTTGTTGTTGCAGAGTGAGTAAGAGGTGACTTCCTTTGCGGATAGGGGATGTGTTCGTCGACGCAGTCTTGCAGCGGCCGCTTGCGGGAGATCAAGATAGGTTGCCCTGTGAGACTCAGGAAAGTTGAGATCCCCCGGAGTGAGGATGAACGCACCAGCGATGATCTCAGCTTGTGCCCACGAACATTGGCGGCGGGTGGCTTTCGAGATACAAAACTCCAACGCAAGTGCCATTCTGATTTCGTAGGGTCATTTGGAGCTGGAAAGCCAACGGGAACCAGTTCGTCAGTGGTGTGGTCACGGATTCGATCAAGACCTTGTAAGCACCGAGGCCACATTGGTGTCTGCAGCCAGGTTGAGCCGGCCGCAAAGGCGGACGGCAGACAAGAGGGAAGTCTCGTTGAGAGGGGAGGGTTGGCGGGAGCAGGGTGGTGAGCGGGGGTCGAGGGCAAACTGCAGAACACTGACCACCTCAAAAGCAATATATACCTGGGGCGTCGAAGGTATGCCTTTTTATTGGCCCTTTCCAAAAGGTGCGTAAATATCCCATTCCCGAAAAAGGGTGCGTAAATGACCGTAATCGTGTTTAGGCCCTTATATTATATACCCTATAATATATAAACCCTGACATAAACCCTATCCCTACTCCCCGAAAACAACCCAATAATCTGCCTTGAGGCCAAAGCTGTGGAAGCCGTGGTGCTGATGGCTCCCAGTGCAGTTCGAAAGGGTTCGTAGATTCGTGATGCAGCAACATAGGGGTATAGTGTCCTTCTAGCTTGGGATTATCAGCAGATACGTGGACTTCCCGATTTTAGGCACGAAATGTCGTGGAATTCTGCATGCAGGATGTTCTATATAGATGCATGTGCACTCTAGTGAAACCTCGGTTGCTGATGGCTCCCTGTACCTCCTGGTCTTCCTGGCTAGATTGGGTTTGAGGCCTCTGAGCTCCCGGGGAACATTAGGGCGCCAGTCCTCCGTGGCAGGGCGGACAGTGGTTGGATGGCTTCGACTTTACGCCTTGCGTGGTGAAGGCTGGGCAGAGGGCTTTCAATCCAAAATGGTGCGGACTGTTGTTTTGTGCAGGGCGAGCTGTCGCTGGTGGATGATGGTTTGTAAGACCATACATTTCGCATGTGCAGCTGGCTAGTTTGAGCTGTCCTTTGTGTTGTGGTTGTATTATAATTGTTGGCAATCATGGCCTTTGCCAGGGCTGCGGTTCCTGGTCCGACGAGCTGGAATGTGGGTCAGGCACACCTTTTTGCACTTGGAATTATAATCAGTCTTGAAAGCAGATCGCTGGTGACTGCATCTATGCCAGTTTGTTTGCATTCCTGCAGAATTTTGATCCGGAAGGTGTGTTCGAGTGTTCCTAGACTAGGGATCCAATGGCTGCAGCGAGCAGCTTCCAAGCTAGGGACTTCCAGTGGGTGGCACAGTTGCCGGTCCTCTGGGAAAACAACCGTGCCTTCCGTGAACGGTCTTTGAATGGCCAGTCGCTGTTGCGTGGGATTCACCAGCCCGGGCATGGAGACCGCGAAGTCGTGCTTGGCAACATTCAGTGCTGCAAGTTGAATGGCGAGGTGTTGAAAGTCGTCCTGAAACTTATGGGTGACGAAGGGTGCATTTTTGTAGCCAAAGTTTACCTGCTTCATGCAGCTGCATTGGAGTTTCATAGCAACTCTGGATATCCGGAAGCCGCCTCTTTGGGCGCGGTGGCTCATTCGGACGGCTGGGGCTTGAAACGCATGCTGAGCTTCTTGAAGCGCAAATGGATGAGGGGTCAGACACCTCGTGTATCTCGATTGTGTCCAGAATGTTTGCGTTTCTTGATGTGGTTTGTGGGTGTATTTGGTTTGCAAACCTCGCTTCCTTGGTCTGTCTGTGGATAAGGACAGACTGATTCGTGCATTGGTTGCTGAGTTCCAGCGGGCCTACGAGACTCTCAGGGCTGAAGCTTTTCTGAAGATTCAAGCAACATGTTGCATGTGCAGTCTAGAGCTTAAGATTCTTAATTGGAGGTTTAGTGGTCTGTTGAGGCTGTTGGCGATCGCATAGCGCGGGCTCTCAGAGCTCGAGGGGACGATGATGACACCGATGATCCAGATGGAGCCCTTGATGTGGACTCCGACCAGTGCCGTGCCCCTGCACCGGCACTGGCCGAGGTTTTCGAAGCGCCCCCGCCAGCCCCCGCAGCCGTCGAGGAGCCAGTGGCCACGGCAGCAGATGTCGTGCTTCCGGCCCCGGCCAGCGAGGTGCCGCAGGACGGGGCACCAGCAGAGACTGAGGATGAAGAGAAGGCCAAGGATGCGATGCAGGATCGGCCACCGTCCCAGGAAGACTTGATAGCGCAACTCAGAATTGCGGAGCTGAAGCTCGAGGCCAAACGCTTGCAGCTGGGCTTTGTTTCACGGTGAAGTAGAGATGCCATGACCCATAAACATTTCGTCAGCTCACGATTTAGCATTCGAGGATGGCCATAGAGCGGAAGCGTGCTGTGAAGCAGTTTGCCAAGAGCCTGCCACGAGGAATTCCGAGATTTTTCTTTTGATTCATACATGCAGTGATACAGCCTATCATGTCCATGCAGGGACATTTGTCATGCATAGTTGTGGATTTCGGAGGACCGATCGCTGTGGATTCAGATGATGAGGCAAACCCTTCACCCCCGGTCAAGTCTGCTGCATTGCTTCCGACCTCCGCGGCAAATCCGGATGCTTTGGAGACCCAGCCTTTCGAGATGGACACTCAGACGGTGCAAGATGTCCTGACTAGGTTGGACCAGCCCGTGCCATCGCCCCCTGCCAAGACCTTTGCTGAGCTTCAGACTTTGGTCCTGAGCCCCCAGAACACTACGTCGCCGGTTGCGTCGCCTTTGGTGCCGCCAGCCGAAACGGAGACCCCGAGTCCCCGAGGTGTTCCTGTGGCTGAAATCACGCCGGTGAAGACTTATGCCAGTCGCGACGATCAGCTTCAAGTGAAGGGCGCCAACGAGGACGAGAAGAAGGCCAGAGCGGCTGAGAAGGAGGCACAAAAGGCTGAGAAAGCTACTCGTGGGAGAGGCCGGGGTGGCCGTGGCAGAGGCCGCGGTAATGCGCGGAAGACGTCCCATGCCGCTGACGAGCTGCACCATGGCCAGGATGACGAGACCAAGGCAGAGGTTGCTGATGCCGAGGCCTCGGGGAGTGCAGAGATGGAGAAGGGCAAGAAGAAGAAAGGGGGCCGACCCAGGAAGGATCAGCAAGACGAGTGTCCGCAGACCGAGACGGGCAAGAAGAACAAAGGGGGCCGACCCAGGAAGGATCAGCAAGACGAGTGTCCGGAGATTGAGACGGGCAATGGCAAGAACAAAGGGGGCCGACCCAGAAAGGATCAGCAAGACGAGTGTCCCGAGTCCGAGACGGGCAATGGCATGAACAAAGGGGGCCGACGCAAGAAGGATCAGCAAGACGAGTGTCCGGAGACCACGGGCAAAGCTAAGAAAGCCAAAAAGGGAAATGCAGCAGCTGAAGCTGCCGATGCTCCAGCCTTGCGAGTTCGTGGCAAGAGATGCGCGGAAGTGGCTTCGCAGCCGAAGTCCAAGCGTGTGCCAGTGCCAGTGCAGACCCAAAGTGGCTATACGTGGCCCTTGACCTTTGCTCGCCGCTACCGCCCCCGTGGGGACAACTACACCCAGAAGCTCTGGGAGGGATGTATTCTTGCATTCAAGAATGTGATCGTGTCCCACCTCGAACCGGGCTCGCAATCGGCCGCTCAGGCCGGATTTTTCGTTGGGCAACTACTTTGGGATGTGTGTTTTTAGATCGGTTCAGTGAGCTCGAAACATTATATGGGTTACCTCTTGTTCCTGGTGTATTAATGATCATCTATAGATTTACATCCATAAACTCTTGTTTTCATCTGTACACAAGATCTAATACCCTAAACCGTATAAACCCTAAACCCTAAACCCTAAACTAAACTAAAAAACCCTACACTCCTCGGCCCTTTGCAGTCCGACTTCTTCGATTTTGCGAAGCAGTTCATCCCGAACGATGAGAAAGTTTCCACTCGAGTTGCAATGTTCAAGAGCTGCTCTTTGGCAGCTGCTAGGTTTGTAGAGACGCTCGAGCAAGCCTGAGCCTGGGCCCTTGATTCGTCCTAGTGGATCGATGTATATCATTTTAGCTACAATAAGCAGTTTAAGTGCACAAAAGTTTCATCCTGTGTACGGGCTTTCTGCTTGAGCTGCTAGAAACGAGGCCGCTCGATTTGCATCCATAGGATGATGCTGCAACGGGCCAGTTGGGGTCCATGCTGTCTGGTAGTATTAATGCGCTACCGGGGAAGAGCCTTAAGGGCTCGCCAGGGGTGCTTCGATCAATGCTAGCGCTTGTGTGCTTTCAGACTGCATGCTGGCTTTCTACACAATTCGTGACTGCTGTGCGGCCTCTGCTCAGAGTCCACGACCACGGCTATGGATACCGTCTGAAGCAAAATAACTCTTGCAACAGTCGTTGTGTGACCAGTGCATGCAGATTGAAGCTTTGGGACTGCCAGATTTCTACCATACAATCAAGCTTCTAAATTCTTAAGTACGACTCTCCCTGTGGCCAGGTGAAGAACTTCTTTCGCCGCAAGAGTGCCCAGACTCGCTTGCTCAGTGCAGCTGCTTCAAAGCGCCAGCAGGCAATCAGCAGCCAGCCTCGCTAGTTTATGTGTCGCTTGCATACAAGAGCTTGTCATGTTTGTATCGTTTGCAACGCCGGGCAACACTCATGCTGCACTTGGTCCAAGGGCTGCTTCTTGTGGTCTGGGCTACAATACTGACAGTGGGGAGTATGAGATGGTCGACTTAAGATTGATCGATAGTTTCGGAGAGTTCTGAATTCCTGAAAGTAGCTGGGCTCGCCTCCCCGGTTCCTGACATGGTGAAGCGCAGCTTCGAAGAAGTGGCGATCAGCTTGATTCGCCTCGGATCACCCAAGGTCTTTGGGCGGGCATTGTAGGTTTCATATTGTTTTTCGATTGTTTTCAATTCAGTTGTGGTGCAACTTTCCATACATTGTCCTGGCTTTGAGGTGGGGTCTATGTTTCTCTAGAGCTGCTTCGGAAGTTCAGTGTCGGGTGGTTCGGGTTCAATAGCCTGGTTGAAACCTCCTGCTGAAATCCGAAGCATTTCTCACTGCATTAGGTTAACTTATAAACCTGTATGAGTTTGGGGTATACACAATATGACAAAGTTAGCATTTCTTCGTGGCCAATCATATCATGATTATTGGGGTGCTTCAAAGAATCAGAAACTCCTCTCTGCCCCAGGTTTTCGTCCTTTGCATTTTGCTGCTGTTATGGAACGAAAGCATTGACTTCGACAAGGACGGCTGCCCTTCTACTTGGGTTAGCTTGGGGTGTTCTAAATAATTCTTTACAGTTTGAGGTTAATAGAGGGTTTCGGGATAGGAGTCTCAAGGTTTTGTTGCCAGGATCTAGGCAAATCCTTGATGCTATATAGCAATGTTATATTGTGTGCTGCAAGTATGCCTCGTTTGGACCCCAGCCTTGAGGCTCCGGTCTAGCTTAGCAGAAATCACAATAAGGGCATGGTTTTGGATTACATTCGTCACCTATACGGTTAATACCCTGTAATCTGATTGTTCTAAGGTCTAGTTGTGCAGCACACCCCTGGCACGCACACAAACACACTTAGGCTTGGAATGCAATACTACCCTGTCTCTCTCTCTCTCTCTCTCTCTCGGTTTAGGGTTTAGGGTTTAGGGTCTCTCTCTCTCTCTCTCTCTCTGTCTCTCGTTCTCACATAAGTGCCACAAGAAATCCTGGAACTCTGATTCCAAGCAAACCTGGGTTCTACCCAAGTACCTACCACACCTCCCAGATAAACCCACCATAAATTCCCCAATCGATATACAATCCCACACATTCGCCAGGATATCGATCTCGCGGAGCTCTTCAGTGGATCCGGAACCCTCTCCAAGGAGTTCTATTATGAGGGTAAGGAGGTGGTCGCATGTGATTTGAAATATGGCCGGGGCATGGATATATGTCAATCCTCTGGATTCGGGTGGCTTGCATTGAAACTAGCTTATGAGTCTGTGCTACATCTTGCCACCAGTGTAGTATGTCTTACTGGAGCCCAGGACATTCTGTTCAGCGGTTCTATGTGGTCGGCCGAATAGCTGTGTATGGCTTGGTGTTCTTTGCAGCTCCTGGGTTTCTATCTCCCGCCCGTCAACAAGAAGATCATATGCTAATCCCGAAGGCTTTGAAGGCTACGAGAAGGTGAGAACGGCTAACCTGATGGCCGCAAGGCCCGGTTCGAAAAAGATCCCCTGACTTAACTACACTTCAAACTTAATGCTCCGGGGTCCAATATTCAGGTCGGCCTTTCTATGCCTTCTGGCTGCAGCTTTGGGTCAATGGTGGGTGATCGAGCAGCCCAGAACATCCTTGCTTTTGCAGAGTCAACGCTTCAAATGGCTTCGGGACAAACTACAGGTAACTTGTGCCATTGGCATTACCGAATGCTTGGTCTTGGGGGTCAAGCTTGCTGCCTAGGACCTACAATTCCTGAGTTCGGATAGCTTCGGCCCAGGTGTATAGGAGGCCTTCGTGAAGGTTCTCTTCGGAAATTTTCTTCAGGTGATTTATAGTCCTTAACCGGAAGCCGGAAGCCCGAATATCACGTGTTCAAATTCCTGAAAACTACCCTCTTATGTGGTGTAATAACCCCGCAATGTGTGACAAGCCTGGGTCGACCCTCTTTAAAGCGAAAACCACCTCAACCCACGAAACTAGGCTAGTAATATGGTACTATATCGTATTATCATGAGAGCTTCAAAATTGAAACTCTCATGATAATACGATATAGTACTATATTACTGTTGCGACGACTCTGAAAGTAGCACAAGTGGGGGCGCAGGTTAAGGACGCAGATGGGTCATCGGTTTTCGGAGTCAGAACTATACCACCACTATCCACCACTACTATACTATACTACTAGAGTACTACAACTACTACAACAACTACTATACTACTATAGTACTATACTACTACTACTACTACTACTACTACTACTACTACTACTACTACTACTACTACTACTACTACTACTACTACTACCACTACTACCACTACTACCACCACTGCGACGACTACTATTATACTACCACCACTGCTGCTACTGAGTACTCTACTTATACCGCTAACTACTATACTACTACGCTACTATATATGTTATATATAAACTATGCTACTGTAATAATGCTAATAGAAGAATCAACAACAGTTTGTGCTGCTCATCCGAGCGAGGCCTCCGTTATTAGCCGTTGTGCACCGCCACCAACAATGCCAGTACCACAACCACCGCCAACAACAGACTCCAACACCAAAACCAACTGCAACACTACTAGCAACGCCACCACCGCCGCCACCAACACCAACACCAAGACCAAGGCCCCAAGGCCCCAACCCCAACCCCAACCCCAATGCAGCCGAGGTTTATCGTCTGGATCTGTGGATGGCTTTGTTCGGCTCCAGAACGCCAAAGCGCAGCAGCCTCTGGAGCAACTCGAGGGTCATTAGTCTTTTCTTCAGCAGTAGAAAGCTGCAACGCAGCTTACAAGATCCTACCTTCAAGACTACAAAGCGGTATGTCAACGAGAAGGGGAAGCAGTGCTTCGAGGGCAATCGCAACTTGACAGACACTGGGATTCTCGGCCGATTTGGGTGCTTTCTAGGAATTTTCTGTTCAGGTTTCTGTGTTTCCAAGACTAGAATCTTCTGTTCAGGTTTCTGTGTTTCCAAGACTAGAATCTTCTCTAAGGATCTACACTCGCCAATTTGCGAGGAGAGCATTCGAGGTTATGCAGCTGGGAGAGTCTGTTCTACCGAAGTCTGAATTCTTTGTGGGAGACAAGAAGCCAAACCAAGCTATATTGCTTTTCCAAGCAATGGATGACAGCGATAATTGTGAGGATGCCGGTTTGATCGCAGTCGCACATTACCTTCGAGGATGCAAAGCACTGTGTATCCCAGAGGAATGGAGAGCAGTACTTCCTAAGAGGCTGTAGTGTAGTGAGCTTCGTGATTGCATATGATCGAGGTAAAACCGATCGAGTCTGTGAGTGTGCATTCAAGGGCATACATGCATGTGCATTTACACACCAACACGGCACTTTGTTCCGGTGTTCAGTGGTCGCAGCGATTTCTCTTCAGGTGCTAGCTGAACTTCGGCAGACTTCTATAGTCGGCTCGCAATGATCGACACCCGTCCCGAAAAAGTCCTTTGGGCCAAAGAGGTTCTGAGACACCTGTCCACCCGGACCCTAGATGAACAAATCGATGCGGTGACCGGGCCCCTGGAATCCATTCGACACGGACTCCAGGCTTTGCTATCAGTTCTCCCCATCTATGCTGAGGGTGCCCTTCGCTCTGCTAAACTGTTGGCCGATGTCTTGACAACGGTCAGGTGCACAGTGGAGTCCGGCGGTTTGAAGGGGGACGAGGAACTACAAATTATCGAGATGGGGCTTCCAACCTATCCACAAGAGCGCTACGAACCCATGTCCCAAAGAATCCAACTTCGTGGGCCGGCTATGATTCGCAGGGAGATCTCGCAAGGACTTGATGCCTGGGATTCTTGTGCAACAATTCTGTGGTGCCCTGCCGTTAGTGCTTGTCACTGGCACATGTCAATCCTCATGACGGCATTCAAAGATGTTCTAGCCTTCGTGGAGAGTGTGCAGTGATGTTGGACAGGATCCTATCCATTATAAGTTAAGCAGAAGCCGGATTTTGTGAGGGCAGGTCGGATTCTGCTCGCTGCCTGATGCAAAACGAAAGATCCGATTATTTAGCTGTTGCTCTTTTGTTGTTCTTGGGGTGTTTTGGGCTGGCTTCTGGGGCCTTTGGTTTTACGGATTCGATATATAGGGGTCAAACATATTCCGTTTTGGGGGTCTGTGTTTCTGGGTTTTGTAAATCCTTTTGGCGGTGATTGTTCCTGGTGTGCTTTTTTTCAGGTTTGCACCTGAAAAAGCGTAAAACGGCCCAAAAGAGCGTAAATCTCTGCAACGCCCAAATCCCAGAAACCACCCCCAAAAAGCGTAAAGACCATAAACTTCCTCCAAAACCCGGGGCCCGAAGCGCAGAAGAGCGTAAAATCCCGCAAGAATCCGTAAAATGGCCACGGCAAAGGAGCGTAATTATCCGTACCGCACCTAAGCACCCCAAAAAGACCATAAAAACCCAGCCCAAAGGACCATAAATACCCGGCCACCCCAAAAGGCCATAAAACCCAAGGCCAAAAGACCATAAATCCCAAACAAACCCACGCAGAAAGGGACATAAAAAAGCGTAGGAAAAGCGTAGGAAAGCCGTAGAAAGGCCATAAAAAACCGTAAACCCTATACCGTAATTCTAGACCAGGGAGCAGGCCACAGCTTACCGCTCTCGGTGCCCACGTCGTCCGGATCTGCAGGCTTTTGAGTGGGCCCAAGTGTGGAAATGCAACGGGAGGCTAAAACCTTCCTTTCCAAAGCGTGGTCTGGGAGCTCTTTGACTTCTGGAGCACAAAACATGTTTGCTGCCTTCATCAAGCAAGAGCAAGCATTACCTGATGACGTGGATTCACTGAGACAGAGGGTTGAGGACAGTCTCATGTGCACTCTGTTCTGTTCCGAATGATGATCTTTTTTGGTGATCTATATACCAGGACCTTCGGCGACAGCTGGGTATGGGCTCGGCTGTCAAAGAGGTGCCTGCCTTGGGCTCCCATTCTTAGTTGGCTTCTGTTGCTTACAAGAGTTTTGAGGAGCCGTGCGGGGATGCAAAGCAGCCTGGGCAAATGAAGGAGCCCAGATTCCTAGCACAAACCCAATGCATTCCGGACATATGCTGATATCAGGAGACCGGATTGGACAAGGAGGCCGCCTGGTCGGTCTGGGTTTTCCTTTTGATTCGTTCATGGTAATGTGGTAATGTCTCTCTCTCGCTCTCGCTCGCTCTCTCTCTCTCTCTCTCTCTCTCTCTCTCTCTCTCGCCTTGCTTCTGTCTCTGTTGCAGGCACCGAAGACTACCCTCCCCAGAACTACCGTCTGCTCCTCAAGTCATGAAACTTCGACTGGATCCTAGTTCTGCTTGTGGAGCACTTCAGGAGCCACGCCCGGACACATTGCAGGCCACACAAGTGGAGGCCTGAACCATCGAAGCCAGTAAAGCAACAAGGTGCTGTGCCCTAAAATAGTGTATCTCTGAGGAGACCCAAGAGAATGACAGCCAGGCCCGGATCCTCGCTACTGAAGCCACAGTGTCTGGGTTTTCTAAATCAAACTTCGGGTGCCCGTGACTTAATTTCAGTCTCCGCCAGGCACCGGAGTTTGCAGCTGCCGAACCTACCGTCTGCTCCTCGAACTACTCACTGCCTGATTGCCTGTGTTGTGTTCCACCAACCCAAAAGGAGCCAGCTTCGACGCAGGCATTGCAGCCTGCACAGGAGCCCTAGCAAACCCATACCGCGCAGCAGACAGCATTGTGGTGTTCTGTCAGGAGACCCGACCGAATGACATCCAGGAGACCTTCGACAATGACCTCCAGGAGACCCAACCGGATGACATCCAGGATGCCCTTCCCTCACGCTTTCTCCCTCTCTCCCTCCTCTCTCTTTCGAAGTAGAAGGAGTGGATTCAAATAGCACCCTTCTCTCTCTCTCTCTCTCTCTCGCTCCCTTTCTCTCTTTCTCGCTCTCTCTCTGTCTGCTGTGTACCTGAGCAGGAACAGAAGCCTTCCATCCCCAAGACTGCCGTGTGCTCCTCAATATTTGGCTTGCTTGGACAATGAACCCTATCTGTAGCCTAAACCCAATGTTCCTTAAAATACTTGTATAGACGATCCCCACAATACAGCACAGCAGTTGTTCCTTTGCTGTCCCCGAACTAAACCTGCTTCCGAAACTGGGGTTATCAGTATATCCTATATGACCCAATCACCCAACCGCTTTGTTCTCCCCGCCTTATTCTCGGTCGCAGCCCATCCAAGAACCTCAAGGGTCCATAGGGTATGTTGTCGGGTCAGCTATATGTCGGGGCCCCTGCTACTAGTTAAGACGACTAGGGTGCTCTTTGGTATCGAAACAGAAGTCTTGCTTCAGGGTTCGATAGGGGGCTTGGGTTTGGGTATATAAGTATCTTGTTAGGCATCGGGGGTGGGGTGTCAACTATGTACATAGTTCCCGACTTACAAGAGTAGCAAGCCCGGTTCCATCATGGACCCTCCCCTACCCACAAACCTTTCCCAAATATCCTGAAGCCAAGCGACCCTGAAACTACACGGCACGATAATTAAGACAGGCCCAATCGTTCCATTGTCATCCCGCATAGTACCTTGAGGCTTCATCCGTGGGGCACAGCGCAATGGGGCATGCCAACAGCTTTGTCGCGCACCAGGAGACGATGGTTTGCAAATCGGTTGTTGAATTCACTTGTTTTCATACCATATATATATTATAGGCCTAGGCTTGTATCCAGTCGAAGCAAAGCAACCCTATAGTGGCAGCACAGTTGGGAAGGGTCACTTCTGTTATCAACAAAGAAATCAAGCCTTAACCCTATAAGCTCTTGGAGAAAATTGTTTTTAGCTTATTTCGAAAAATATACTGATGTCTACCAAAGGCCAATGCTGAAGACCAACCCTTTAATTTGATGAGGACTCCTCGCAACTGCCGCCCGAGATCATGTTCAAGTCGCCGAGCCGATCCCCTTCCAGCCCACCTAAGAACATCGAGGCATGGGCACTTCATATCTAAGAGGCCCCGATTGCTTCTTAGCCGTTGTGCATGACAGGCGATGATGGATGGTGCACCTCTCGAGTCTCTGCCAGCCCCAACGACTGCTGATGTCTCAGTTTTAGACAAGTGTTGTAGTGATGGTTGATGATATTAGATACAGATCGATCACTTAGGCACGCGAAAAGCAACTGTACGAGATCATTGCTCACCTGCAAAGAACGCAGCCGGGCACACCAAGTATGTTTGCACCCGCTTCTGTCCGGAGCAGTGTGCTTCAGCAGCAAATGTGTTTCAATCGTTCCCAGCTTTGAGCTTAATCTGCCTTTTCCATTCCAAGCTTAGGATCCATCAGTGAAGTCGCGGCCGGAGCGGCTGGACTCTGTGACTTCCCTTGCCACATCCCTGAGTGACGGGGTCCCCGCACCCAAGGATTTGCCACCGATGCGGGCCCCAGCCCCTGCTACCCCTGTGTCTGACGGCACAGGCACGGAAACGAAGGAGAGTGCTGCGCCTACCGGGCCTACCGATGACGAGGATGACTGTGAAAGTCCGGAAGAAAAAAAACTCTACGCAAGGATGGAGGCAAAGATCCGTCGAATGTGTACCCCGAGCCCGACCACCGGAAAGACCACGGCAAGCCCACAGTTGCTGGCGGAGTGGAAAAGCAAGGGGTACACCCGTACCCAACTCATGCAGTTGATGATCGAGGCCAACGGCGACAAGGATCGGAATCAGAGAGAGAGAGAGAGAGAGAGGGACACAGAGAGAGAGACATAGAGAGAGAGAGAGAGAGAGAGAGAGAGAGACAGAGAGAGAGGGACGGAGGGAGGGTAACAGAGAAGACTTGCCGTGAGGCGCAGTTCCAAACGAAACTGGAGTCGTGGCGCCAGACGGAGCAGTTCAGGAAAGTCCAGACGAGGGGAGGCTGGTACTCGGAGCAGGACATGAAGAAGCCGGTGAGCGAAGGAGGATGTGCCTATAGTGCGTGTTTCTGCTGCATCGATAGTTACGAATGACTATACTATACGTGTGTGGAGGAATGGAATGCTTCCTATGTAGCCACGCTTCCTATGTAGCTAAGGAAAAAAGTGCAGAAGGTGAAGGACTTCTGCGAGAAGCACGGCTTCGTTCGGTGGCTTGCTTCAATGACCGAGCATTTCTGCAATCCTTAATAAGCCCCTCAATCTGTGGATTACCACGGAACCCTAAGGCCCAAAAGCTTAAAACATCCCAAGCCAATGGAGCCGGAGTTTGGGTGTTACAAGTTTGTAAGTACCTTTGTCTTCAGTCCTTCAGGGGATCCCTCGAGTGTTATGAAATAAAACTGTTTGTAGTGTTATAATGCTAACTGGGGTAAAGTTGACAAAGGGCTTTTTCGGAGATCATTCGGTGCCTCACAGCAAACATGTTACCCGTGCTAGTGTATCGTAGGAATATAATTATATTCGGGCTTCTATATTGCATGGGTTGTATGGGGTCTTCAGGGGCTTAACCCCCAAACCGTACCCCGAAATGTTTCCTTTAAGAAGTCCGATGACTGATAGTCTTCAATCCAATATCCGGAATCCTTGAAAATTTCCCTTCACATAACACCCGAAGAAACCCAGAAGCCCAATCAAAGCCCGCTTGACAGACACCCCCTATCATCCTTATCCCAAAAACAATCAACCTTATTCTCCCTACCAGGAACAACAAGTACGATGAGGACGAGAAGGAATACTGGGTGGACTTCCGGACGGAGGGCAGCCGAGGGACCAACGAGATTGATGCTGTCCGGGAGAAGAAGATGGCTGACACCACCGGTGCCGAAGGGTTTGTTACGGGGGCTGTGGGCGACGGGCCGCTTCCAGAACTTCCGATTCAAGGGGGCCTTGCTCCAGGGATCGAGAAGGCCTGCTACTGCTTGCGGATGTTCTAAACAACTTGTGTGTGACTGGGTTTCAGAAACTCTATGCAGGAGGACCAGGGCTTGGCTAAGATCATGGACGATGCCTTTCAGACCCGTAAGAACCTTGACAAACTTGTTGCGAAGCTCAAGAAAGACAAAGGCAACGCGGGGACCCTTTGTTGCATAAATGCAAACCCAAGCCGCGGATCCAGGAAGCTTTCTGCCACAAACCAGCAGCCCAGGGACATCGCCAGCATGGAGGAGTGCATCTCCAAACTGGGATCGCTTTACGACGATCTTGCCGGAATCCAGGCCGAGGTGAAAGTGAACGGTATGGATGACAAGTTTCTTTGTCGCAATACCGGGATGTTGGTCCTAAATTCGGGATATATGTGTTTCTAGATTCAGCTCAATTAGCAAGGCTGAAGCAGCAGCTGGCGGAAAAGACCAAAGCCGTGAAGCGCCAGTGCAGCTCTTAGATTGCTCAAAGTCGTTTTCAAATCCTCAACAGCAGAACTTGTATGTGGTCACAACAGCTAGCTGAGGTGTGTTCTGGCGGTGTCGTGTGAGATCAAGAACAAGTATCCCGAGGAATCTGGTAGATCCTTTTTATACTGTTTGTATTATTGCCGCTCCCCGTATATAAGGCTTTGGGGCTCAGGGTTTCTAGGGTTCAGTGGCTTTACTGGGTTTGTAATTTCGGGAGTCAAATTACTATGGTCCGTTCACGTGGTTGCATGCTAGACCGATGCTATATGCTTTTCAATCAGGTCGATCAAGCGCAAGGAGCCGCCGCCAAGCACCGAGGAGCCCCAGTCCAAAAGGAAGCCGAAAAGCAAGACAAAACCCAGCAAGAAGTGAGCCTGAGCCTCTAGAGTTTTGAAAGCGCCGTCGGTGTGATTTTATGTCACATTGACATGATCTTCTCAGTAGATTGTCTTTGCAAACTCGAGCACGGGGCTTTGCTCAAACCGGAAAATCTCCGTGCTTCTTATTGCCATTCCTGCAGATCCGGCAGCACTTCGAAGTTTTTGGTGTAATGTGCAAACAAATACGCATGCCAGGTGAGGCTTGCTTCCGCGATGCCACTCACAAAGCGTGCGACTACGTGCGCAGCTATGGCAAAGGTGCTGGGGTCCTAGCTATCGGGGAGTCGGCGATCATTCGTTCTTACAGATTCAGAACTTCGGTCATGAAAGTGCTCATCAGGAAATGAGTTCCCCCAAACCCCTATCATGTGTAGCTACAACCCTAGTACAAAGTAACCATTACCCCAAAACCTAAATCGTGTCTAATAGCTACAATCCTAGTGTCGGAATACACAATCCAAGACTGGAAGTTGTATTGTATGGCTCAATCAATGAACCACCAATCTTAAAGCAAAGACGCTACGAACCCGTTTCAGCTGCATTCCGAGGAGTTAGAGGCCCTTGCAAAAACAAGGTCTATGCTGGTATTGTACGAAACCCAACAACTGAAACCTTTCATACAATACAAAGCTTAAGGCAAGCTTCAAATCTGTTCCCTCTTGAAAGCCAGATCAGAGTCACATCCTTGTAAACGTTGCATCAATATCTTCTGGAGACGAAGCCTTCCCAACGTCCCAGGTTACCAAATCCAAAGAACAACACCCCTTGTAATGCAGTAGACGATCCGTTGCTCGCCCAGGTTCCAGCGAAGGATATCGTGAACAGAGCGAAAGCCTCCGCAAAAGATGGAGATGTTCTGTGTATTACGGGCAAATCTGTGGCGGCTGTTTCTGCGGGCAACGAGGAACGTGGTTTGTATGGGGCTTTGTTGGAAACGAGGCTGCTTGTAAACATTCCGTGGTCCTATGTGAAGATCGGAGAAGGTTGTCTCAGCGAGCACCCCTGTTTCAAGCCTAAAGACATCATTCATGCCCTTGCTGAATTGGGGAAGTTTGATACTGTGATTGGGACTCCGGTTGACGCTTCGGCCGCTGTGCTAGCTGATTTCTGGGAGAACTTCACAAGGCAGTTTGAGCACCCGGTCACTGCAGATATTCAATCTGGAAAGCTGAATCCTGCTTTTTTGGTGCCCATCAATATTCATGGAGATGGTGGAAGAACTTATAAGAAGTCTGAACTCATGGTATTGCAGCTTCAATCTGCCATCGGGGGTGGCTCCAGGCTGAGTGGGCAAAAGCGGAAGCTGCCTTCGGGAGCTGAAGAAGCCGACTACAACCTGAGTGGGCATAGTCTTGCCACTCGATATTTGATGAGTTGTCTCCATAAGAGGCATTACAGTGATGACCCTACACCCCTGCTTGAGCTCCTGGGCTGTGTTTCGGACTGGCTTGGGGACTTGTACGACAACGGCTACGAGTACCGAGGCCAAGTTTGGAGGTTTGTTCCAATAGGCCTGAAAGGCGACTTGGTGTTTCATGCCAAGGCTGCTAGCCTAGAACGGTCGTTCAGTCGTGTTCGCAAACGGAAGGAGACTCCTAAATCGAAGCCTTTACAGGGCTGCTGCCCGTGGTGTTTAGCAGGAACCCCAAACGTGGCTTTTGAGTGTTTTGACAAAGAGGCTCCCTGGATACAAACTTCGGGGGCTCGGAACCCAGTACCTTGGACAGAGACCCCTTCGATCCTGAGATCGATCCCGGTCAGCGCGGACCAGCCGTCTTTCTTGAAACCCGATTTATTTCACATTTTGCAAATGGGAGCCTACAAAGAATTCGCGGCGAGTGGACTCTGCCTACTGTTGCCTTTCTGTGGCGGTAGCTCTCAGGACGAGAATATGGCTACGATGAACCAGTACCTTGTGAACTATGTCAAAGAAACGAAGTCCCCGCTTCACATGCCAAAGCTCTCGCTGGAAATGATTGGTGCCAAGACCCCCACCGTTTATGCTTCTGGGGGCTGGAACAAAGGCCAAGATTCAGTGGTTTTGATGGGCTTCGTTGAGTGGCTGATTGGTGGCTTGGTTATCCTTTGTACAGGTTTTGTTGATATTAATATTATACCTCCTAAACCCCATGAGCCCCTGCTTTCCACTGTTTGGAAACAGTATGCTAGAAGCCTTGACAATATAAAAGCCATATATAGAAAACCCTCGTTTTACATCGTTTCCAGAACCGAACCAGAAAACATTTACCCTTGTATAAGCCCTGAAATCGACCTAAACTACCCCCTATATAAGCCCTTAAATCGTCCCATAAGCCCAACCCCTGTGAACCCTCGCTCAAAACCGTCGCTTCCAAAATCAGACGAGGCAAGCTGCCTGTCGATGCTTTTCAAAAACCCTGGAAATACCTGGCTGAGGGCTGCAGATCAATTGCGTGTGCGATGAAGATTTTGCATTCGGCCGCTGCTTTTATGCCTAAAAGCAGTGCCCTGGAGGCAGCCGAGGCTGGATATAGATTCTTGCTCTGCTACGCGAACTTGGTCAAATGGTCGGTTTCCCAAAAGAAACTTCTGTTCAACCTCATACCCAAACTGCACTATCTGCATCACGTGCTGGTGGAACTGCGGGCGACGGGTTTGAACGACCGAATTGCCCGTGTTTTCAACCCGATGTGCAACTGCACATCACAGTGCGAAGATTTTATTGGCCATATCGCACGGCTGAGCCGTCGTGTAACCCCAAAGCACCCGCATACACGTGTTCTGCGACGTTATCAGGCAGCCCTTGCTGATAAAATGGGATTGCTGAAGTGAGCTGTTGATATAGAGCCCTGAAAGCCCTCCAATGTAAGTCCATACACGCCCACACACACAGTTGCTTTGCATCCCATTTGGGCCAAGCCTCGATCGTCTCAGCAGATTGAGCTGCAGTGCCAGAATGCCAGAAGGCGTGGAAACAGTTCGGCCATGGTCGCTTCGAGGGTGCTTTTGCTTGAAGACATGTTCCGACAATGTGCAATTGTTATAGAAGAATTCTGTCCGCCAGATTTATGATAGCTTCAGAATTGTAGTGCAAAACCATCTTTGGGATGCTGGCTTCGAGGCTTTGAAGACCCCACTCCAAAATCCGTGTGAAGGGTGTTAAGGGCATTTGAGATTTACGAGTCTGCGGATGTGGTTTGGAGATGCTACAAAGGTGCCTTGGAAGCACAAAGCCTGGGCGATTTTAGGTGGGAGTTCGGGCCGACTTCGGGTATTAAGATTGATCCTTCTATGACATTATGATAAAACCCAATAAATGTTTAAAAACCACGGAAACCCCAAAAGAGCGTAAATTCGCAACTCCGGAACAAAGGGGCGTAAAGCAACCCGAAAAACCGTAGGGGCGTAAACGGAGTCACTTGAACGACCTAGGTAAATAATATACGGAAAGGTTCGGGATGGGTTAGGTTAGGGAGACGCATCCAGACACACAAGATACAAGCACAAGCACATACACACACAAAGAAACACAACCGCACAAACCCGCACACACAGGCACAAACACAAACAGACACACACACACACAGGCACAAACACACAAACAAACAAACAAACCCCCAAACACACAAACAAACAAGCAAGCAAACACAAACAGACACACACACAAACAAGCGCACACACACACACACAAACGCAAACACTAAGACACACACACACACATCAACGCAAACACATGCTCAACCGCAAACACAAACACACACACACACACAAACAAACAGACACACACACAGAGACACAGAGATACACAGACACACGGACACACAGACACACAGATACACAGACGCACAGACACACAGAGACACAGACACGGACACGGACACAGACACACGCACGCACACAAACACACAGACACACAAAAAAAAAAACACGCACTCAAACACCACACACACACACACACACGAACACACACACACACACACAAACACACACACAAACACAAAGACCAACACCAACACCAAACACACACACACACAAAAGCACAAACACAAGAATAAAAACACAAGAACACAAACACACTCACACACACATACAAACACTCACAGGCAAACACAAATGCAAACACACACACACACAGACAAACAAACAAACAAGCAAACACACACACACACACACACAAACAAACAAGCACACACCGACACACACACACACACACCCACACACACACACCACACACACACACACCACACACCACACACACACACACACACACACACACCACACACACACAGACAAACACAAACAAAAACACACACACAAACACAAACACAAACACACACACAAACACAAACACACAAACACACACACACACACACCACACACACCACACACACCACACACACCACACACACACACACCACACACACCACACACACACACACACACCATACACACCACACACACTCACACGCACTCACACGCACTCACACGCACACACACGCACACACACACACACACGCACACGCACACACACATGCACACGCACACGCACACACGCACAGACACACACACACACACACACACACACACACACACACACACACACACACCCACCCACAACACACCCACACACACACACGCACACACGCACAGAGACACACACACACACACACACACCCGCACACGCACACACACACACCCACGACACCCACGACACACACACACACACACACACACACGCACACACACACACACGCACACGCACACACACACACACGCACACACACGGAGACACAGACGGACACAGAGACACGCGCACACACACACAGAGACATCACACACACACACAACACACACACACAGACACACGCACACACACACACACACACACCACACGCACACGCACACGCAAACTCACATGCACAATCACAGGCACAGGCGGCACACTCACACGACCACGCGCACCCACTCACCAACCTACCCCTACCCACCCACGCACCCACCCGCCCACCCACCCACCCACACACACCCACACGCACGTTCGCATGTAAACACACCCACACGCACGCAAACCCATGTACACACAAAAGCAAACAAACACACACACACACACACACGCACACACAAGCACACACACACACACACAAACACACACACACACACAAACACACAAGCAAGCAAACACACAAGCAAGCAAACACACACACACACACACACGCTCAACACGCACCCACACACACACACAGACACACACACACACACACCACACACACCACACACACCACACACACCACACACAACACACACACACACACGCTCAACACGCACCCACACACACACGCAGACACACACAGACACACGCACACACACACACACACACACCATTTAATCACCCACCCACCCACGCACGCACACACGCACCCGGGCACACACACACACAAAAGCCAAAACCGAGAACTAATTTACTCGCTTATATACATTTATACACATACCATATATTGATATATATATATATATATGTACATATATGTTTACACATATACTCGCACCTTCTCCACTTCTGCATTTCAATGGTTGAGTCTACAGCTCGATGCAGGCAGGCGGCACGCTTGGTGACTTGCTAAGCTGGGTGCTAAGCATCGCTCCGTCAACAGCATGCATTTTTCCGCGCATTTGGATCTGAAGCAAGTCTCTAGAGTGCATCCCCCCCGCCCTTGGGCAAGGCGTCGGCAAAGGGATTCGGTGTGCAGCAGAAGTTAGTCGAAGCTGTTGCGTTTTGGGGTAACAGGGTGTACGAGAGTTGTTACACCGGTGTTATGTTCTTTGTTGGTGGTTTTGGATTCTGTTTGGATCCTCTCAGCTGGACCGACGCAGCCTCACCACACATTGAACACGATGGCGGACGCGCCAGGACTCATCGAGGCTTCCGACGCGAAAACCGCGCTGAAGGCTGCAGCCCGGTTTCTCCCAGGCCTTGAGCAGATACTCTCCCTTCCTCAAATGCGACGCAGCTACATGGCGGGAGCGCCAGTGGGGAGGCAAGAATGGCCTGAAGAGCCCTTGGTGGCGCCGGCCGAACTCGTTCAGGGCTCTGCTGAGTCCGCTTTGAAATGGCTCTATGAGCGAGTTTTGGGCGACTAGTCGCATGTGGCTTGAAAATATACCGTGTGCCTGCACAGATAGGTCGTTCGTTGACGAGCCACGCAGCCTTGCCGCTGCATTGTGAAGGTTTTGAATGCCTGCGTGCGCGCCGCGTTATTCAGCTCGTCGTTGGGTCGTAGCTTAATTATTTAGTTTTGCCGGATCTGGGCAATGACATTTGCCAAAGGCCGCCAGACAAGCTTCTCGCTGTCATGTGCGACTCCGACTTGCCCGCAAGGCAGACAGATCCGAGGTCTTGTGAGGCAGGCAAGAAGCAGCACAGTAGCAGCACCAACCACTTGGAACAACTTGTGTTGACACCCGGGTCCCAGGCGCGAGAATGCTTCGCTGGCTATTGCGTTGTCACGGTTGGGCATGAGAAGGTAGAGGCGACGGGGGAGTGACCTGTGAAGAGTGAATTATAGTTCTTCGAGATTGGGCCTGGTCTGAGTGCAAGCAGAGTTTGTAACTACCCCACAACTACCCCCGCACCCCCCCTTCTTTCCCCCCAATTTTCATCCGACGCCTTGCCCATCTCCCTATCCCAGACCAAGCAGTGATGTGCACGCTTCACAATTTAGGGTTTAGGTTTTGGGTACACCCTGGTCAACAATGCTACCACGCTTGTGTGATTAAAGTCAAAGGTCGGAGCACCCCACCTCGTCTGGCGATTTCGCTTCATCATATGTTTGATGCACGCTTTCTCATTTGGCGATTCCAGTTCGTTACAGTTCGTAGACACGCCCCCTCATCGGCCATTCCGGTTCATCCCCGCCCTCCTTATCGATTCAGTCATCATATGTCTCAAACGCGCTCCCTCATGTGGCGATTCTGGTTCATCATAGATCTTGAACACGCGCCTCTTTGGCGATTCCAGTCATCCCATGGCCGTTGCAGTTCGTCCTGAAACTTAAACACGCCGCCTCCTTTGGCGGTTCATTCCAGTCATAATATGTCATACACACGCCTCCGCATTTGACGATTCGGTTCTTCATAGATCTTAAACAGGTTCCGTCATTTGGCGATTCCAGTCCTCCTATGTCTTAAATACGCCGCCTCATTTGGCGATTCCGTTCATCACTTGCCACCCGCGTTTAACGATGCGGTCATCAGTTGTTTTTCTATGTATATGTGCAGATGCTTCGGCAGGTGGCCGACGAAACCTCGTAGTCGTAGTTCTTGGAAAAACCAAACTTGCTGGAACCATCCAAGATCATGTTTTCTCCTTGTGTCTGCCTCCCTCCTTGCACGGCTTCAGTCGGATGCGATTGGTAAGGCTGCGTGCGTGAACAGGTCACTCCAGGAGTTTCTTCCAGCACGATGAGACGTCGCAGGCTGCTGTTGGATTGGGTTCGGGCAGTTCGGGCAGAGTTCGCTGACAGAGTGGATGGCAGAGCAGTTGAGGCTCCGGCTCGATTACTTCTCGGTCGCTGGTTTGATGAGCGAAGTGTTGAGGTGCGCTCTGGTTAGAGTGAGCTAGTGCTCGGTGCGCTTGGTCAGAGTCCACACTTGAGACTTGCGACAGGGCGCCTTGGCATCATAGTTCCGCTGGATGCATGCAGGCATCGGCCGCTAACGCTCCAAGACATGCAAGCACCAGGTTGCAGTGACAGCGAAACCCTAGCATGCACCCCGCTTGGCAGGCTGAGAAGATCTCGGAACTGCGTGCAGTCCAGAGGGCACAAGTGGCTGAG